AAGAAAGTGAGTTCATAAAAACGTGGTAAAAAGGAGTCGACATCCGTACGAGGGTTCATTCATAAGCTTTGAGACTTTTTGAAATAGATTCAACAGAGTTTCAGCAATTCCAATTTTTTCTAACTGGCATAGTCCCATCATTTGGCAGCATTTCAGTGCTGTTCAACAAGCCAATTTCAATGCATTTTTCCATGCAATAAATTCAGCAATCAAAACAGCGCAGAAAATAGAGTTCGGTTATTCGATTAAAGCTGCTCATTGATGGCGGAAATAAGGCTGTCCCGTTTATCAAAATCTATCCCTTTCATTTTGTTCTTCACTGTCGGGAACAGCCAGAATAATTCACAGAGGGTGATTAACCGAAAGACAGGGCTCGATTTTTGTCACGGTTCTGATAATTGAATTCATTGCATAACAAAATGCATTGAAATTGGCGGAGAGTATGTTGAACAGCAGCACTGAAGTTTTAGCAAAGATGACGCTATGCGATTAAAAGAAAATTTTGAAATTAAAAAAAAATCTGTTTGACCTGTTTCAAGAAGTATCAAAACTTCTCCACTCTACTAGGCGGTACCAACGATGAGATTCGCCAAAAATAACTGGCCAAAATCTCGAAAATAAATTCAATTTAGAAAAGAAAATACAGTAATACTAAAAGCCCAATATATATGTAAGCCGAATCCAAGTCATGGTCCACTAACGACTAACCTATACCTTCCCGCACACGAACTGCAAATTCGCAATCCGGAGCCGGGCACCACTTGACACTCTTGTGACTGTCCACATAGGAATTGACCAGGAATCTCGCATACAGTTGCAATGCGTGCGAATCTGCACTCAGCAGCGACTCAATCTGCTCATGGGAAACGAGTTGTTCGCAATCACTTTGAGGACATGTCGCCCATTCGTTCATGGTGCCGCTGAGTATGCGCGATGAAATGTAGTCCCTGTAACAGTCCCTGCAAAATCGGTGCCCACAACCCGCGTCTTCTCCGCGCCACGTGGGTTTCGCGGGTTCCATGCAAATTCCGCACTCGAATGTCGTCAGCAGGGAGGATTTACTCTTGGCAGAACTTCGCCTCTTTGTCGGGGATCCTGGTGCACTGCTGTTTTCGCCTTCCTTTTCCGCTACAGCTGAAGAAATGAATAAAAGATACCTCTGAAGAAAGATAACGCGTGTATAGTTTATTGCCGGCATATTGTATTATGTTCTTTTAATACGTCAGAGCTTTGGTCCAGTTTGGTGGCTAGAAGTAGCAGTATAATATGAAAAAGCAGCAGATTGGATCACTGGTAACACTGGACGAATGATGTGAAGTAATGCACAGAAAATAAGTGAATAGTGGGTAGTTAGATGACTTCGCATAACTGAAAACTTCCGTTTACACCTTGGTTAGTTAAAAATGTGCGCGGCAAAATATGTTCGTATAATACCAATTGCCTACTAAAAATCAAAATGAATCGTTCATTTTTAAAGCATAATCGATTTTAAATTATAGTGTATAATCTATGATTTGTTGGACTATCACAATCGTTCCATTGAAAAGTCTGAAATTCAGTTATCCATCAGTACGAGAATCCGTTTCAAGTTTTAACGTGTTCTAAAATAACGAAGCTGGTGATCGGATTATTTGCAGAATAAATGAACAAAACAGATTCTGAAAACATTAAAATTTGAATCAAGCCCTTTTTATCTTCGTATATGCGAAGGATTTCAATGTCGTCAGCAGGTAATTTTTCCCCCATTTTTATGCAACTGTTAAAGAGGAATAAACTGCTCAGAGAACCCAACCTGATATCACATAATTTTATTTCACCCAAATTATAGGGAAGATCTGAGGATAGTTCACTCAAAGATTCTTCTAAAGCTAATGTTTCCCAATAAAAAAGAAATATGCAGCAAACTTTGTCCAGCTATCAGGTGACGAGAGAAAAATTTAGCATAAACACATATATTTAACAGTGAAGATTAAGGCCGGAAAAAATGCCATAGTTTAGATTGTTGGAAGGAAAACGGCCTGAAGGAAAAAAGGTTTGATTGAGGAACGTCGATTATTGTAATAGTCAAACGTGATACAACTCAAAACTTGATAGGTATAATGAGAGGAATAGGTTTTAGTCATTCACTTTTTTTTCGTTCCTTTCTGTCCTTTCATTTAGCCTGATGTCTCCATTTTTTTCAAGATCATTGTCTCTATCGCCGTCATTTCATCAAATGCGGGCATTTTCTCATGACACCGCTGTTAGATAAAGAAGAAATCCAATTCGGAAAATATTCGAAAATAAGGTTGTTTGAAAACAGTTAGGGCCGTAGCTAGTAGTAAACGTGTCGCAAGAGCCCGGGAAGCATCATAAAAAGGTTGTTCGAGAGGAACAGGGTCGGCACTACGTCCTCATTCTCAGAGCACTGTCGTGGGGACGCCTTAATTATCTGCTGCACTTCGGCAATGGCAGCTTGCATTTCTGCGCGCAATTGCTTCGCGTCCAGCACGTCGTAGCGGAACTCGTCCTCGTCGTCGGAAGCCGCTGGCGAAGAGCCATTGCCAGGGTTGCCAGCGGAGATGCCTTCCAGTAAATCGGATTCGCCGCCGAGCGTCGCGGAAGACGCCTGCCCGGCGGCCCTCCCGTCTTTGTTCTCATTGCCTTCCAAGGCTGAGCAAAGATAATACTGTTATTTAATAATATACGAATGATTATTCATCTGTTCAAGTACTGCTTATATAAGCAATTAAAATTCCTGACCTACCCGAGGCTTATTCGTTCTCAGTACTTTGGTATAAAGACAGCGGAGGTCCGATTTTCCAGGGAAATTAATAAACTTGTACAGCAGAATCTCGTTACAACGAAGCGTTTGGGACCTTGAAAAATTCGAGTCTATATACGAAAATTCCGAACAACGTTGTGACATTTTGGCTTTTGGGCATAGACAAAAAACGCGAAATGTAAACGAAGGTGTCACTACAAATCAACTCGAACGATTCAGTTTCTTGAATCGAGAGGAAAGTAATCAATTTAAAAAATTGTACTCGGACATTTCGTATCTGCAGTTATTCGTTACTTATGTAATGCTTGTTGTACTTCATTTACCTTTATATTTTTGCAGAATTCGTTCCTTTTTGGGTCTGCGTTTGCGACACCTACTGTCGATTCACCATGTCACCTACAATTCTTAGTTTATTTCAAAAGCTGCGTTTTAAAAGTTACAATGAAAAGAAACTAGAGTAATTTTTGCATGAAACTAAATTCGGATCCATTTTGGATGCTTTAAAATTGGTTTCTGGTGGACGAAATATCACAAGAAATCCTCGATTTTCTCAAATGGGGAACGGACGATGATCGAGGAAAAAATATCTTCGAGGCTCGTCAATAAACTATCACGATAATTAAAATCCGAAATTCTTGAATAATTTTCTCATAAATATGCTTAAATTTTACGAATACATTAATGATATACCGTATATGCACATGATCCTCCTATGCCTCGTCATTTTTTATGCTGCAGTAAAACAAAAATCAGCAATTCATTGGTAAAACAGATGGCACATTATATTAGGCTTAGCATAGCACTCGAAAAGATACGGTAAACATACGTATCTTTTCGAGCCCCTCGTTTTTGAAAAAAAAAAAAAAAAAAAAGAACAGGTTATGTATGGTATGAGGCCGTATGACTGATGGTCTCCTATAGAAATGCGGTCGGAATTTCAAATGAGCTTGGTCATATTTGCTGATAACGAAACACTAGTAATTTTTTAACGTTTCACATTCTGGAATTTAGAGCTTGAAAAACATGTCCGGTAGTAGAGTCTAGAGTTCTGTTTTCGTCAAAGCATAATTTAGTGAATTTTTATGAAAATTCTAGAGGAAGCAGAGGCGAATCTGACAGTACAAATAAGTTCTAAAAGAAACGGCAACTTAAGAATGGGCCATGGCGAATGATTTACATTGTATTCTTTTTTGGGTATGCTTAATGTTCAAACCGTGCACTGCCAGTGTTCATGCGTGATCATTTTATCACAATATTTTGAGAAAAATGAAAAACGTTCGCGCTTAAATACTAGGATGTGTGATTGTAACTGTCCCGTTATAAAAAGTTGAAGCGTGGTCGAACCTTTCTGGGGAAACATTTCAAATATTTTTTTCGCACACAAATTTCCCCAATTTTTTTTTTAAATTTCATATATGCGTGAATCGGCGATACTGGCTCTTAGGTGCAGAAATAAAATTCATAAAATGCGCAAACTTTGCTGATTTTTATGGCAATCTAATATTAGAACACTAACCCGCAACTGTCGTTAAATCCTCCGTCGACAGCCCTCCAGCACCGTTGCTGCTCAACATTCCACCCAGAGTTACGACAGTAAGAAGTAATGCTTACAGTCCTAAACTTAATTGACGAAAATCGCGACGAATTCGACCACTCGGAACTATTCCTTCAATTGCTTTTCTCTACCTGTCCTCGATGACAACGCACGACGTGACAGCGAGTAATGTTTAATCTCGTCGATAATTAGGGATAACGGGTAATCAACGAACATCCATGCTGAACCTTCACCAAGACCTCCAGTCATCATTCCGTTTGCTTTCTTCTTGAGAAGTATTTCTGAAAACCTGAAAAATTGTTTTAGCGGAGGTTCCCGCCGACGGTTTCGACCTAGTATTCTATTTCGAAGAATCCATTGATTTGATTGGGTTCTTTGAAATATGACTGCATGCGTTATTTGGAACCATTTTAAGCTCGTGTTTCATTTGGCATAAATTTTCGAGTTTCGGTTATCGTAATTCTTTTTGGAACATCACGTATTAACACAAGACATTTAGATAAATTAAGAGATTTATTAACTGTATGCAATATAACGTATTCTGTACCCGTAAGCATTTCCTCAACCTTTGCTATGGATGATTGAATCTCATCTCCACGAATTTAATTTTACTTAAAAGGAAAGAAGACGCAGAATTGATGAAAATTATTTCTTATCCTTGTGTGATCTAAATTTGAAATTCTTTCGCAGTTTTGAAGTTCAACCTTCAACGAATTCTTGAATTTCCTTTATAGTAGGGCAGGAGGCTCCATTAATTCTCTAAAAACTGGTTCACCGAGCTCAAATTCCCCGAAATGAACTGAACCTTTCAAATTCGGTCGCGAATGTTCAGCATCAATCCCTCTGTAAAACGGGTTTGCGTTCCATGATATATCAGCAGTAATTTTGGCGATCATCTGTCGTCGCCTGTCGTCCGAAGGGAAATATTTGTTCCAAGAATTCCTTATCGCACCGGAAAGTTTCTCGGGATCAGGAGCCATAATAGAGAATCAGGTTACAGCATCCCAAGATGTCACTTATGTCGAACAATTTTTGCAACACCTTGGATAGATAAAAAGAGAAAATATTGATAGATATACATGAATAGAGAGCCAAGAAAAAGACATTGAAAAATGAGGTTCCGGTTACCTTCTTGCGTTTGCCGGGGCGCAAACGCACGCATCTGATTTCAATTACCGCCCCAAGATATCCAGAAGGTTCTCAAGTCGCAAGTTGGTGCATGCAGTGGTTGATATTAAACAAAAAAGGAAGGAAAAATATAAAATCAGTCGAAGCAAAACATTCGCGCTGTCAAGTTGGTGAATTTTTGTAGCGCATGACCTGCTTTATTGAGCAGTGTCAAGTTCAGCCAGCAGCAGCAGCAGCAACAGGCAACCGCAACGCTTATGAGGATGTCGTATATTTACTTCAAGAGGATTACAAGGCTTTTTGTTTTGCTTTGTTTTTTTTATTTTTATTTTTTTGTTTTTTTCACACACAAGAGGTGACTCATTATTGAAGCAGCGGTTCAACAAAGCATCACAGGCTTGTCGTTGCCTGTGCGGCGCGTTTTTTGCGTTGCCCCTGTGATGGGAAGCCATTTCGTGCTTGTGTTTGCCTTCAATGGGAACAGTATATTGTATTGGTTCTTGATTCGCGGAAACGGTTTTTATTTACTCAATCCCTAGTCACTCGGAGTATTATTATTTGACAATATACAGTATCAGTTTCTGAAGGTGCCAAATAGGCTTGCTTGCTTGTGTTGAAATTTATTCGCCGCATTATTGATCGGCTGTGGGCTTTTTTTTTTTTTGAAGTCAGAAAATGCTGTGACAATCCCTGAAACAGTGGAAATGAGTCGAGTGCGCTTTTGGGGGATCCTTTTGGCATTTTTAGCCATCAACGAAAACTTCTGCGATGCTATAAACTATATGCAATGGAACTGCGACAAAACACCGGACACGATTACTAATTCTATGAAAACCCCTGGAGACAACGGATTCAAGATTTACGTCACCGGGAATCCGAGTGCTTATAGTCCAGGGAAGGCTTACACAGGTCAGAAATTCAAATTTTATTATTGGAATCTTACCTTTTTTACTTACAATTTTCAAGGAAAAAGATTGGTAATAATTTATCGTGTGATCGGGTTTTCACTCATTTGAGATATACTGAAATACCTGGGTTTTCTCCGTTTCCTCAATTTCAAATCGTTTTCCAGAAATTCACATTTTAGAATTCGGGCCTTACCATTTGAAATTGCACTTTTAAAGGCAAAGGATGCTCAGTGAAGTTAACGTGTGATCGATTTTTTATTCGTTTGAGATATACTGTAAAATACCTGGTTTTCTCCGTTTTTCCTCAGTCTTTTGTTGCTCTTCAGACGAAAAATTAAACGTCTCATATTTTTGATGCAGCTTTCAAAAAACTGAAAAGTGATGCATTTCCTGTCGTTGCTCTGAGTGATCGCCAATAACTTCTTTCAAATTTCCGCATGTGTTCCACAGTTTTACGAGCGTTGCCGGAAATTGCTGTTGAAATGAACTTGAAGCGGAAATATTTAATCGAGGAAACTGCTGGTTTATAATTTTGAAATTATCTACGGTTGAGAGATAACGAATGCCTTCATGAGTGATCATGACACAGAATCAATATAAATAGATGTGAGAGAAAAAAAATTAACTCAAAGGACCCAGCCGCGATTGAATATCATTATATCCTGGAATCCGATACTTGAAAATATGCATACAAACCATTTTGCATGTCTTCTGCGTCATTTCGTGTACATGTGAAGGGAGAATTATGCTTGCAGGCAAATCGAATGGTTTACATCTAAATGTTTACTGAGCAGATCACTTTATTGAGATTTTCATTGAGATATGATTCTTGTGTATGTAGGAGGGGGTCTTTAAAGCCTATTTTGTATCGACATTTGAATAAAGATAAGTTACTTTTATCCTAATTTTCTCTTAACAGAACATCAGCCGCACTAAATCGGTACCATATTGAATGAATTCTCTACAATTTGTGGATCTAAACTTGGGCTGAATTACTGTATCTCAATTTAATTCTTGTTGCACTATAAATAAAAAATCAACAAATTACGCAAAGGTAGGCAAACGCAGAAAAGTTCATCGCACGTGAACTGATCAGATCGGAGAACTTCTCGAAATTATCCGCGATATTAAATTTTCCAACTTACTCGCTTATTTTTGTAATGAAAAATGCAACCTTGAAGTGATTTAAAAAATATATATATAAAGTGATACTGTCTAAAATGTATCTTGATTCACAGTGAATATCGAAGGACAGAGGTACCAGTACGGGAGTCAGAAATTCCTTGGGTTCATGCTGGTGGCGCAGCCCGAGGGGTATCACGCAGGTGGGATCGTAGATGTCGGACGATTCGAGTTAACCGGCGATGCCATGACGACTTATTCACGCAAATGTCAAAATGCTGTCACTCATACCAACATTGTTCCCAAGACGGAAGTTTCTGTCCGCTGGAAAGCCCCTTCGTCTGCCTCCGGTTGCGTCATGTTCAAGTTGAGCTTCTTTTCGCGTTTCCTCGTCAAGAAGCGTCTTACAAATCCTCAGGGGTTTATTTTTTAAATTACATCGGGCCCTGGGAGAGAATTTCACCAGCTGTAACCACGTTTTCCCCAAAGTACATTCATGAAATAAGCCCTGTAGTGGTACTATTTTCAGTCATCGTTCAGAATATCATTCCTATCCGCGGAAAGCAGTACTGCAGTCTTGTCAAAAAATCAAATTTTCCCCCATGGAAGAGCTATCACGTCATATAAATATAGATGACCTTCCCTTTAAAAATATATAAAAATTCGTCATTCCAAAAACCCTGCCACATCCTCAATCTTTATCTGCGTTATAGCGGTTGTCTCAGTTCATTCGACTGCATGCTTATAGCAATATTCCCATCGCAAAACGTTCTGAGCATAGAGTTTTCCAATTGTAATTTACATTTATTGAAAGTCATGTATCAACAATAATAATCACCACAGCTTAGTTTTGGGAAAACATATGATGAAAGGCCGGTTTTTCATCTAGGGGTTAACACTTGATCATTGAATTACGGAAAAACGACAAAAAGAACTGAAAGTTACCCTTGTTGAAAATTATTAGGTCAGTAACATACTCTATACTCAGGCAGGCCTAGCAGAAAACTTGGCCTATACTTATTCACAAGAAAAAGTTTTGCTTCATCGAGTTCATGAGACAATTTTTGTCACTATCAGGATGCAATAACAGTACATTTATTATTACATTACAAGAAATCAATCGAAATTTCTCTAATAAAATTCGACAATCTCGAATACTGTATGCTCAAACAGAGGAATTAATTTCCATGCCCAATAATGTTTGTTTCTAGCTTGCATGGGATGTCTCTCAGGGCGACTCATTAACGAACTTCTCTTTAAGTCATGTACAGACTCACCTAAGAATGTCTTATTCAACATTTAAAACGTTGTCTTCCTAATAACTATGTTTTAGGGCTATGGTTATCGAACGTCAAAACGTTTGGTACATGGATGATGGAAGTCTGCAGTTGGAACTGTGTCCCGACGTTGCTGGAGCTGTCGAATTGCCACCAGCTGTGCTCGACGAGTGCCAGGCTTGTGGGGAAGCCAAATACGAGGTCATCTTTGAAGGTCAATTCAAGACTCTCATGCTTTTCAAACCATATTTACTGGAGTACCCACGCGCCATCGCACCAGAATTTTTCAGTCAATAATTTTTATAAAATTTTAGCCTCGAATAAGATGCTCGCCCCATTTTAGTGAATCTAAAACTACAGAGCTTCAAAAGCAAGAACAGATTTTAACTCAGGCATGAATTGAGACTAATTTTAAATTATTTCCATTACGACGAGTTTTTCTGTTAAAATTGGTCCATAATTTCGCATTAGAATCAAATATAATTCACATCTAGACTTCCAAAACTCGAATAAAAAAAATTGTGTACCCACCTACGATGTGCATCCCGTTTTTTCCTCTCTCAATGCCGAGAAAAAGGTGCAGGTGGTACTCGAGTGAATACGGAAATTAAAAATTAAAATTTCGAACAACAAAAAATTGTCGTCATTCCATCCATGCATAGGTCGTTGGTCTCGTCATACACATCCGAAAAACTTCCCCAGAAACGAATGGTTGACACATTTTTCGGATCTTATCGGTGCTTCACATTCACCTCATCTCAAGGTTTGGGAAGCTGGGGGTTATGCTTCAGAAGGCCTCAAACAGGTTGCCCTGTATGGAATCACTCGGGGGCTCGAGGGCGAGCTCAAGAAACACGTGAGTTTTCAAACTCGGACTGCAAAAATATTTAGAAAATCCCCTGCTACGGTATTTTAAAAATTAATGTATGCCAACTTTTTATAACTAACAGAGTCGGCACATCAGAACGATCATCAAAGCCAGAGGACTGTGGCATCCGAAAGTGACCGGAAAAACGTACGCAGTTTTCAGAGTGGACCGGAAGCATCACTTGATGACGCTCGTTTCGATGCTCGGTACCTTATGACGACACAAATCACCATTTTTTTTCTCCCTTCAAATCAATCGAAAAACGCAACTTTCTTAAAAAAAAAAACTGTTCCAGGTCCTTCGCCCGATTGGTTAGTTGGTGTTTCCTCGTTGGAACTGTGTCAGAAAAATGGTACTTGGGCCAGAGAGAAGGTCATTGACTTGTATCCCTACGATGCTGGAGTCGATGCTGGAATTTCGTACGAGGATAATGACAGTCCCAATCCAGAAGCTGTAAGTTGATTTTTTTGCGGAATAAAAATGCAGTTTTAATTACGTGTAAATAATCTGATGTTTCTCTCAGCAAAAGATCAGGAAGATCACTTCCAGTTGGCCCGACAACCCCAGGTCCCCATTTTTCGACCACTCTGGGACCCCGATGAAACCCCTGGCAATCCTCACAGTGCGCCGACAAAAGGAGTACGAAAAGTCGGATTGTGGCAGTCGATCCGGGGGTTCGGGAGGCCGTTACAGTAAAGACAGACCACCGAAAAATAGATCCAAGGGAAAGAACAAGGGGAAACAGGGTGGTTTCATATCCGCCAGCGACCCAATAATGGTGCTCGGAAATGCCGACAGTTCAGGCACTCACATGTATGATAATGAGCGCAGTGGAGCCTTTCATCCGGCGGATCCTGTTATTGATGATGGCATGCATTTCGTGGAGACTCCTGACAATTCAGGCGATGCTTTGAGACGTGAGTTGAATCACTTCTTACAAAATGTGATGCTAATTCTTATAACTGCATTGTCAAGATATTGCACAGTCAAACTTTTCTATAATGTCAAATTTCCAAAAACCAGGAAACAAATTTGACTTGGTAAGGTTTCAAGTTAGGAAAACAAGCATTCCTGCTTGTGGCAGGAAACTCAGGAGAATTACAGGACATTGTAAATTGTGATATTCTGGGCCTAAAATTGCTTCTTGAACCTTCTGCAGCGAAGTCAGAGTATTTTTGTTGTTGCAAATTTTGTGTGCTCTGCAGAATAAAATTTAACAAAACCATAACAATAATGTGTGCAGGACAAAGTAGGGAATAATCCTGGGGTCTCTACAGAAAAATTTCACTCAGAAATGAAAAAAGGGAAATTTCAAGGATGATTTTCCCCCTTGGTTTTTATTTTTGCATAATTCAAAGATTAAGTTTAAGCTTGAAAGCCAGGATCCCAGGTTGGAGGTCACTGCCAAAAAAGTTTGACTTGGGAATTTCACAGTGATTCCTTAACCTTGCATAAAATCTGAAGCTGCTGAAGCTCTGTAGGGGTTTCATAACCTTTTAAAAAAATGATCCAAATGGACCCACCCAAAAAAGTCTGATTTTGTCCTGGAATGAAAAGGACACCTGTGCCACAGATAGGATTAGATGAGTTGACAGGATGATGGTGAACTTGGATGCAGGGGTTCCTTTTCCTAGTTAATATTTCACTTCCTTTCTAAACATATCAAGTTACTTTTTTATTGCTATTCTCTTTCCTGTGTCAAGAAAATGATACCCAAAAAATTCTCCCAAGACTTTGAGTTATCCAGGTTTGTGAGGAATAACCTCCCAGATAGAGAGTTTTTTTTACGCAATTTTTTTCTAGGGGAATTCAGACTGGACTTGAAATAAATTCAACTTCGGGAGTTAGTTCCAGTTATGGAGGTTCAACTGTTGCGTACTTTTTATTTTATTTCACAACACAGCCGAGTGTGCGACGACGCTATGGAGCACTTATTCGCAATGTTCCGTGACTTGCGGCGATGGACTCAGAAGACGTTCGAGAATGTACCAGAACCCAACTAAAGCACAAAGATCCGAGTGCAATCGACAACTGGAAGAGACCGAGATGTGTAGAGGCGTTTATCCTGCTTGCAAGTAAGGTTTCTTTTTTGTTTGTGGGGGCCAAACAACGTGAAAGGCGAAGAGGACCCTCGGAAATTACGGTGCCCGGGCATTTTAGGAAATACGGATTGTGTATACATAGCTCGTTTCGTGTCGAGTTTTATTGCTTGGCTCTTGTTGACACCATATACACAACCTTCTGTACCAGATGTAATAAAAACAGGAACGTAAATGGAATACAGGAGCTCAACTTGAGTAATACATTTTTGTCCCTTAAAACTCGCTGGCGTTTAAGATAATATAGGGGACACTCACCCAGTTCGCTAATGCCAGTTTTCGTAAGGTTATGGGCATGGGCATGCTGGCAAATTAAGTTCCGAACAACTATTCCTACTAATTCTGGAAATCTGAACTCACTTTTTGAATACAAATATTTTGTTCCTTTCACATCAGCTTTCTTATCAGTAGAAAGCAGTTCTCCTCATATAACAGAACTACGTTAATCCAATTCCGGGATGCGTTTCGTTACATGGATTTTTCTTAATGCGAAACGCAATTTCTCCTACGGTTGCATTACAAATTAATTAATTTGCCCCAGAAACTCTCCAAAACCCATAGTAAACATTTATACAGTACCTGCATATTATTCTAAATTTTCAGCATACATTTGTAAATTTAAATGGATTAGAGTTAAATCAAAGTAATCCTGAGTTCCTGACACATGTGTGCCATTAACTTTCTGAATTTCACACATTTTAGAAGCAAGAAGAGTACAGTAAATCTATACAGTACCAGTCTTTCATAATTTCGGTCAAATCTTTTGAAAAATATCCAAAGTTTATTCCCAAAGCTTGTCGAGATTGGAGTTTTCCAGTCAAATTCGTGAATCAGTTTTGTTATATTGGTCACGTTTTCCCCAAGAATTTTTAACGCGGATTTTTTCGATAGAGTGCAGTATTTACAAATAACCCGTTTCCGCTTGCAAGACTTCTTTGAATCCATTATTTATTTCAGGGGAATCAGATTAGGAAAAATGTATGAATCATACTGTATGTTGAACATTTTTTGAGGAAGCGTCCTACTTTTCAATGCCATTTTTATAAAAAAAAAAGCCCATGGCTTTTCTGTAATTCGAGCAATTATAATTAGGTTTTTTATTGCTGCCTGAATGAACAAATCTAAACATCCGAAAATCTGCTGTTGAAATCGTATACGCTTTTCTTTCGAATTATTCTGACATCACAATTTAAATCATGAGCTGCATATGGTTGAAGCCCCGAAAGTCTTCGGGTTCTATACTGGTCATCAAAAAGTCCTGTTTCTGACTGCCTTCCTGTCAATTGCCAATCCAAAGTTCAATCGGCCAGCCGATCTACCCAGCTTCCTTCGACGATCCGATGGCGGAACGCCTGGGCAGCCCAAACGGCAGGGATTACGACGATGACGACGATGACGAGAATCGGCCTGATGACGGGTTTGACGGTGCTGACAAGGACTACAACAAGAGGTGTGCCACGACTGCCTGGTCCAATTGGTCACCCTGCTCAGTGACCTGTGGGCACGGGGGAGTGCGAACCCGCACCCGCAGCTACCATTACCCCAGGGGAATCAAGGTCTGCAAAGAAGTGGTCAAAGAGGAAATGGAATGCGATGGACCCGTGCCGGAATGTCCTGATGATGGATCTGCTGATCACGTTCGTGTGCCAATCTTTTTTAAATGGTCATTTTTAAATTCCCCCACAAACGAAAAAATCTCCTTTTTAGACTACAGTATAGAAGTATAGAGTAACCGAGTTTGCCCGTACTATAAAAACCGTTTCATAATTCATGATTGAAATATTCGGGCTCTTCTGCGGACATCAGTTGGCATTTTAATCTTAAGATGGATTGTTTATACTTTGTCTGATTTTTCAATGGGACGAGAGGTAAAATTCCGCTTTCTATTGAATTTTCGGTGGTGCAGTACTGTGTGTCAGTGTAAAGTAAACTACTGCTGTAGCAACTAAATATCGAGTAGAATCAACAAACTTTTTCGATGTTGAAGAAAGGGCGTAACTCAAAATTGTCTTGTATTCGCACGCAAAATTGTGCTTATATTTGAGACGCTAAAAACAGAAGGGCATCCAGTATATTTCGTTCCAATTTTTTACATTCAAGTAAATAATTACTTCATCTCGTTGAGCTCTGACTTCGATCTTCTGGAATAATTTTAGACGGATTAACTTTCGTTGATCTTGAAAAACAGACATTTTCTTGATATGTGATATTTAAAAAAAAAATACTGTTATCAGAAAATGTTGCCCAAATATAAGAGATTCCTTCAACCTAACCACACTGATCAATACACTTTCACGATGCGATAAATTATTCTTCTGCGGGTGTTTTTCAAAAGAAATCGTATTTTTAACCCTCTCCTGATTAACAACGATTGTACAGTATATTGCTTAAACAGTCGTTGATTTCCAGAAATCATGGTAGAAATAATGGCTTTTGACGAAGGGTTTTTTTTTTTTTTTTTACATCCTGTCGATGAGTCTTAGCTGGAATGAATCAGGCCTTATTCTATACACAAGAGCTTCTTCTGTAAATTCTGAACCCATGGAAAATTGTCGACATGAGGCCAAGTTTAACAGACCTCGCGCAAACGCTCGAACTCAACGTACATTTTTTTTTTGTCAAATTACCATTTGGACAATCCTTTTTAATGCCTCTTTTTCAGCTGTCCAGACCGGAATGCGCAGTTACACCGTGGAGCTACTGGTCACCATGCAGTGTCAGCTGTGGCAAGGGTGTCAGTGTTCGAACAAGAATGTACGTGGATGAAATACTTGGCACACGATCTTGCAATGTGCAGCTTCTCGAAACTGCTGACTGCAACGGAACATCGCCTCAGTGTTTCTTCACTGAGCAAACCGCTCTTGGTAATTAATCAAGATTATTCCAGAACATATATTTTTCTCCCTGCACATTACAATTGGAACTCGAGTTTGAGATACGTTTGAAATGTTTACAGGTGGTACTGTGCAATGTGACCCTAATCTGTCGCTGATGGACCAGGGTCAAATTGCAAAATGTTTAAACTGCAAAACATGGCGTAATATTGAGTAAGAAGAGCAAAAACATAAAAATACTTGAAAAATTGCTGAAATATGTCAAATTGTGGGGCAGAGGTTGCATTTTGACACAAACTGCTTAGTTGAAACTCTCAGCAAAATCAACCATGGACAGATTTTGAGCAGTCAAATTGCAAGGTACCACTTGTATCATGATGCATTGAGTTTTTTTCGTTTGCCAGTTTGCCTCCTTGTGTACAGGTGGACTCTCACTACAATGAAATTCAAGGGACATGAACATTTTTTTTAGAGAAGATTTTGTTGCAGAGAGCCCCTTTGACATGGATAGAACCCTATGGAACCACACAAAAATAATGTACCTGTAACAATAAAAAATTCCACCTGTAATACAAACACACTTTTTAGATCTTCATTTACGGCATCAACGCATATCATTAAAACTATTCTCTTGAGAATCGTGTCGCTGAAATAAAGTGCTACATTTGAATAAATTAGCAGCCATTTGACAAGGGACAATCGTGCTCTTTTGTCTCGTTGCAGACGATTCTCGCCGCATACCTGCGGAATCGGAGTACTGCGAACGAGCCAAAAGAGCGCGGAATGTTCACGAGTTTCTGCAATTTGAGTACTGGTGCAAACTTTCAAGAAGGCGTCAGAGAAGGTCTAAAACGAAGCGGGGCACTTCTGCAAAACCAGTTCATAGTCTAGTTTTACCGACTGCTTCGCATCACCCACGATTTTTGCAGCAACATCGATCGACCTTTGATTTGACCTCACTTTACTTGGAACTTGAAGATGAAACTTATCGCGATGGTAATCAGTTCAACTCCCCCAAGTGTTTTAAATGCTGAATTGCATTATTATTTTTTCATGCGAGAAAATATCTGTGCTTGTTGATCTTAATTTCCATTACATTCAATATGTTATTTTGGTCCACACACGTTTGCGTTGTAATATACGCTCCGAAATTGTCTTCTTCCATGGATCTTCAAAGCTTAGCTCGAAATATTGACAATGCGACGATTGAGGGAGATTAATGATTATATTTTTAGAAACGCGATTATCTGAGGTGGTCCAGAATTTCAAGAAAATGCTTAAGATTCATGGTTTTTGAGAATTCAAAAAATATTTGACGCAATCCATGTACGGTAGATTTTTCTGTGTATTAGGAACGAATTTTTCGACTTCATAAAGTACCGAAGACATTTCAGTTTTGATCCAAAAATTATCAGCAGTCCGTTGCTCATGAGGATTCGGCGAACTTTTGAGGAAACATATGTTTTTTGTAAAAATTCAATACAATGATGATGATTGAATAAACGAATTAAGACAGACGGCTCATGACGTAAGTCAACATAGCTTGAACTTTCTGAAATATGATAAATTCTGAGAATCCATCGCAAAATCGTGACTGGCAGCTTCACCGATGTTAAAAAAAGATTTTATTTTTCATATTTATCAATTGCATTACATTTTTCTTTATTTTACCTCGTAGAAACGTGTCTGCTCGCACAAGCCAAGGGGCCTTGCAGAGGCACGTATTCACGTTGGTTTTACGACGCCGAGACGAAATCATGCATGGAATTCAATTATGGAGGCTGCAAGGGCAATGGGAACAACTTCCTCACTTACAACGAATGCACGAAGAAGTGTCAAATGACGTTAGCCGGGGCTGGTTGTGAGTGTATTTAGAATCATTTCACATTATCATAACATCGGATGATGTACTGATGACGAACTGCATGAATCCGATTCCGTCAGCGCACAACGTAGGAATTCAGTCTCATCAGAATCAGCACCATCAGCAACCCAATGCCGGCTTCTCTTCGAAAAAGCGCATGCTGATGCAACAAGCCATGATGAAGGAAAAGCACATGGCGATGCAAAAGCAAAACCGGAGGAACAACAACAACAACCACAACGACTTTGACCTCAATGCTGGGGAAAACAACTTCTCTAATCCGGATTTGTCGTGGATGGATGACGTTGGCAACGATGGCAACTACGTCACCGGCATGAAAATGAATCCGGGCTCTGAGGATGACCGAGCTGCTCCTCCGAAGTCACCCGGTCGGGATTTGTATAAAATGCTCGGAGAAATGTCGTACAAACAAGGCGGCGGACATTTGTTCAAGAGCTCTATGATGTCTGGAGGACAGCAACAGAACGTGAGAGATGCATCCTATATATAAAAGCCTGATACAAACAGCGAAACGGTTAATAAACTTTACCCATATCTTGAAAAATTATCTTTTTTAATTGTATATTTTATTTGTTATTCTTCGATTTTAGTCACAACTGTTTTTATTTTTATAAAAAATAATATTAATTCATGAACAAAAACATTATAGGAAAGTTTTTCTAAAAAAGCAAAAATAAATAAAAATGAAATACCGTATTTACTCGAGAACCCCGCGCCCTCAAGTAAGGCGCGCACAGGGGTTTTTCAGTTCAAAATTTGGCTAAAATTTAATCCCTGACTAAGTCGCGCACCCCATTTTAAGGGACTCTAAAACCACAAAATTTCGAAAATAAAAACAAAAAGTTTGACTTTTGATGTGAATTTAACATGAATCTGATCAATTTTCAAATTTTTCAGTAAAAAAATTTTTTCTTGGTACATTTGTCACAAATTTCTCCATTATAATCAAGTATAATTAACACATAACTTCCTAAAACTTCATGAAAAATTTTTACCCCCTTATGACGCGCACCCCTTTTTTCTTCTGAAATTTGAGAAAAAAGGTGCGCGTGGTACTCGAGTAAATACGGGTAATTTCAACTGAAAATTCATTTTCTTATTTTTTTAACGGTTTTTCGTCATGTTTTTAGTAATGTTTTAAGAAAAGTTAAAGAAAGTCATTCGTCAAAGTGATGGTGATTCAACAATTTTTAATGAGCTCTTTCCCGTTCAAAATTCTGCATGAAATGGGCTTTCAGACGAGAGGCAATGGAAACTTCGAGTACTTGAAATCTGATGCTGTAACCACAACTTCACAAGAAGTCAAAAACGACAACAGCCAGAATTATGACGGTGCCAAACCCGGGGATTGCGTCGTCGGACCTTGGAATAGCTGGTCGACATGCAGCACGACTTGCGGACGCGGCCTCAGAGAGCGCAAGCGCACTATTCAGGTAATGTTTTGCAAACACAAAAAATTCTCGCAAATTTTGTTTCGTATTAAAGATTCTGATAATTTCAGTCATGAAGATGTCAATAAATGCTCTATTTCCACTTTCAACTCAGGTTCACCAGTGGGGCGACGGGAAGCCGTGTCCATCACTCAGTGAAACTGAACAGTGCGAATTGCCGCTGTGCCGTGAGTACTTGCGCAACTACTTCAACTAATAACTTTTTGGCACAACTTCTTCTGAAGGCCTGCTTCACATTTCATTGTTGCTGTTATTTATCTGCGAGTGAAAACCAAGACCTCAAATCATCTGTAAATATTGGGGAATAAATGTTGCTTATGAGCCTTTTCTTCATAGTGTCAATATGTTTTTTTTTTTACTTCCGTTCATCATAATCCAAGTCTCCTCACTTCCTCTCCATTTGTCTTGAACCACTTGCGTCTTTTAAAAAATGTATATAAGCCTTCACACTTGCCGGCATTGAAAACGCAACAAAAGAATCACTGCAACTTGAATAAAATTTCCACCATTAATATGACGAAAAGTCGAAGATCAGATTTGCATTCAATTAGAGGTGATTCTTTGCCTCGCTATTTAAAGATTACACGACCATTATCTCTGCAGAAAATATGTCAAGTACCATATACTCGTAAGTATGATAGGGTAGATTTTGAGCATCCAGAAAAGCACAATATGGACAGGAACAAATTTCGAAATTTTGGGGAAATTGCGATCTAAAAGCAAGAAAACCTAAAAATTTTACCAAGTGAAAATTGGAAAAAATATACATTTCCTTACAAATGTATGCCATCTGCACGGAAATTTGGCATCACATGTCCTCAATGAGAAGTGAGCCATTCAATAAAAAAAGTTTTATATTGTTTCCCACTAATTCGTGCATAGGCCACATGATTAAGACCTCGACGCGGTCTATACTCGAGTTTCTTCGGTATAGGCCACTCAGATACTTTTAGGGTAATTTTTTGAATGACAAGTGGAGCTTCGCGTGAGTGAAGAGGATTTTCTCTGGATTTCGAAGAAACGACTCTGTACTTCATTTCTCGTCTGTCCAAAAATAAGTTCGAAGAGAAGATAAACATCATATTTTTTTACCGGTTGAACGATTTAGCTGACGAATTTTTTTCTAATCAACTGAAGTGGCCAATTCTCAATAAATATTTTGTCTTTTTTGACAACGGTTTCGCACTTGCAATCTTTCCAAAAACAAAAAATGTGCGTGAACCCGCTGCCACAATAACAACCGTATAAAGTCTCCGTGGGCTCCTTTTAGACTCACTGCTTCTGCCGACAGACCACCCCCGGACCTCAAGGACCTCGTCGACACACGCGACGTGCGGGGAAGGGTATCGTCAGCGCTGGCGTGTGGTGACAGCCACGAAGCCAGGACTGGCTTGTGGACATTCTGTGGAACACAGGCGGTGCACCCGGTTGCCAGCGTGTCCGAGACCCGGAGATTTCCCCGAAGCTCAGCGATACAACATTGTTTGAAAGCATGAACAATCTTCTGATGGTGCTTGTGAATATAAGAGCATGCTTATGTCTCTTGTGTCTTCGTTTATAATTTCTACAGACGATTGGATTATCTGCAGTTTTTACTGATTCAGTAAATCCACCTATAGTGTAGTATCATATGTACAGCACTACTGTTGAACCTTGATAAATCGAACCTCTCTAAAGTAAAGTATAGCCCCCTAAGTCAAAAAATGCTTTCAAGTCTTTGTCTGAGCTCTGTCAGGATCAATGCGTTGAAAACCTCTCTAAATTGAAAGCTTTAGTGGGAGTTTGGAGGTATTCTTCTTAAAAGACCTCTGGAAAAAACCATAACGAAGTACCTACGTCCTTTCTCTGTTCGTTAGTTTTACATTCCTACACGAAACTTGTCTTCACTTTCTAGTTAACCCCGAAGGAATCCTTGCCTCAAGTTTCAGCATCCTGTAAAACTCATACAGGAAATAATTGAAAGTAATTTTCTATATTGTCTTTTAATTATGTCCCCCAACAAAACGGAATGTTTGCATTCACAACATAGACGAAGAGAAAAATGTCTATATATATGTATGAGAATTGAATTACCTTCAGACCGAATTTGCATGATTTATTTTATTTTCAGTGCACATGAAGCAAGATTTCTCGATCCGTGATTGAACACTGATTTCCAATTTCCTGGAATTTTTTTAAAAATCTCCATGGAATCATTTTAAAAGCTTAGAGCTAACAATGGCGGTGAATTCAAGTAATGTACTCCCGTTGGTCCTTATAATTTTTTCCTCTGCCCTTCACACTTCCACAAATCAATGGTTCATAGAAAAAAGCAACAGAACATTAATTGAAACAGAGAATAAATTTTTAGCATATAACTGCAATGCATATTACAGTACTACTAAATATATTCTAAAGCTGTTGTTGTTCCAAACTGAACATACCAGGAAATACTTTCTTGTCATGCACATTTTCTTCATGTTTCAAAGTTCTACAGCAAGACGAGCTAATATCTGTTTGATCAATAAACAGCGTCGAGGAAATGGGCCGAAGTTTAGTGGTAATTGACACGATATGGGGGCGTTTCCTTCCTGGATGTAGGATGTGTTCTTTTGTGCTCATCTCTGCAAAAAATGTACAGGGTCCCAGTGAGCAAGAAGTTGTCCAGATATATCCAAAACCCCTCCAAAATGGGTCCAATTCGGATCCAAAAATCCTCCAAAAGCAGTCCAAAGTTTTTTGCCTAAGTCGGACTGCAGCGGACTACACATTTTGGAGAAATTTTGGATCAGATTTGGATCCCATTTTGGAGGGGTTTTGGAGCAGTTTCAGAGGGACTTGGGATACTTTTGGAGCAAATTTGGATTTGTTTTGGAGGGACTTTGGAGTCAAGTTGG